TGAAGGCTTGAACTAGGTTTAGATGCTCAAGAGATACAATTCAGATGAGAGTTTTGCAAGCATGGGCACGAAGTCATTATGATGGTTAACTATTACAACACTTCGGACAAACTTTTCTTAAAAGTAAGAACTTGCAGAGTAAAATAAACTTTCAACTTGAAGTTCACTTGGAGAAAAAAAAAAAAAGACACAACAAGATGCCTGTTTAATTTCTCCTACATAAGAGATTAAACAAGAGTACTATGTCAAATTACTTATAGCTGTAGTGATTTAAAAAAAAATAAAGGAATGATAGACACAGTATAGCTGTGTCAATGTAAAATGAAACCACTTTTGGCCTATCCTAATGATTAGTTCTGTTGTCTATAGTTTGTTATCCTCAGGGCATAGAAATAGTAAAACCATTTTAAATTTGTTACTTTAAACTAAAATTCCATCGGATGATGTCCCAAATGACTTTTTTCTCCAAATCCTAATGAATACATGCCTGTAGCTGAGTGTTATAGGGAGTATCATCTAAAAGTATCAAGTCTAACAAACCTCTATAAAGAGGAGATGGCTCATCATAAAAATATATGAAAAGAAATTTTTAAAGCAAGTGTAGTATACTCAATATTTTTAAATGTTTAGTAGAAAATTTTCCCATTTTATGAAATAAGTATTATATCCACTTCTCATTCTCCCAGACTTTGTTTTCCTCTAGTGTTTCTGAGCACTTCTGTGAAGTGACTCAGACATGGCCGGCTTCCTGGACATCACACCTTTGCTGTGAACATCCTACACTCCAGGAAAGGTCTTTCTCAATAAGTACACAGGACTCAGACATGGCCGGCTTCCTGGACATCACACCTTTGCTGTGAACATCCTACACTCCAGGAAAGGTCTTTCTCAATAAGTACACAGGAGTCATTAATATGCTTTGTCCCATTTCAAAGGCTAAAAGGAAATGAACTACATGATTGGTTTGCATTGTTAAATAAGAAATGGCCTGGGAATTATTGATGGGTAGAAATAAGAGAAAATTTTTATTAAGAGATATATTTAAGAACCAAATAAAATATTTTAAAAAGAGACCAGTTTATCACAGTTCCTCAATGTAAAGTTAATTATATGAGAAAAGCCATCAATTTCTCAGTAGATACTTAACATCAAACAACATATGTGTACTAAAGGGCTACTACATAAGGCACCAAGGGCTATGAAAATATATATACAAAAGCTTGTTTACTGCTGTGTTTATACTATATATAAAATGAATATACAAATTAAGACATTATTTTTGACAAAAAATTATTGTATATAAAGGTAGGAAAAGGGAAGAATATATATCAAAATGTTATCTTTGGGAATATGGAATTTTTCTTTTTTGCTTAATTGTATTTTCTAAATTGTCTACAATGAATGGATATTATTACTATTGCAAAAAGAAAAAAACTCATATTTTACCAAGAAACCTCCACTGTGGTAGGCAGCATAATTGCCCCCCAAAGATGTCTATGTCTCAATCCCTGAAATCTCTGAATATGCTACCTTACACAGCAAAAAGGACTTTGCAGTTGTAATTAACTTAAAAGATTGGAAGATTATCCGAATGATCCTCAGGTAATCATAAAGGTCTTTATAGGAGGAAGGCAGAAGTGTCAGGGTCAGCATGAGAGAGACTGGAAGATGCTATGTTGCTGGCTTTGATTATGGAGGACAGGACCACAAGCCAAAGAATGCAGGTAGCCTCTGAAAGCTGGCCAAGGAATGAGATTCTTCCCTGGGGCCTCCAAAAGGAATGTAGCCCTGTGGACACCTTGATTTTCATACAAGAAGACCCATTTTAGATTTCTGGCTTACATTATTGCAACATGATAAATTTGTATGTTTTAAACGACTAATTTTGTGGTAATTTGTCACAGCAGCAATAGAAGATGAATGCACTAGCCTAATAATATAAAGCAATCTTTGTGATGCACCAAAAAAGGAACCACGAATGCTAAAAAACAAAGATGGACATACAACATGTATCTGGAGGTCAGTTAGGAAAAAAAATAAATCAGCCTTGCTTGTTACAGGTGGGGATTTATGGACAGACGGAGTGGCAAATATGTATGGGACAGAAAAATGAGATCAAACTGTGAATTTAAATTGATTCTTTAAATTAAGCCAAATTTGACTTCAGGGAAAGGGAATTTGGTTTTTGAAAAGCAGTTACTATACTGCCATTTTATACATTCAAAACTCAATGTTTTCTGCCAATGCATTTACTAACAATAAATTTTGTTGCTTTTTTTTGAGTTTCAATCTCAATCCCTCATCTATAACATGTGGGCACTAAACTAGAGAGAATTAAGGCCCTTCCCAACCTACCATTCTAGAAGTCCTTGAATAATGGTACTAATTTGTTTTTGTGAAAACTGTTAAAAGAAGAAAAATTAGACATTTATCCTGCCTTTCCTGTCTGAACCATATGTCAAGGTTACCAAACAGAGGTGATGGGGAGTTTCTTTCTACAAAAGTAGTCTAACTGAAATATCGAGAAAGACAGAATTGGAATACCACCATTTTGCAGTCCCTCAATGAATTAATGGATCCAGGCAATGATCATCAATAACTGCTAACATCACAAAAAGAAAAACAGCAGATAATATATTGTTCTTGATGGAAGCACACAGACCACCTATAAAATATGTTTGATAGGCCTCAAGATCTAACGACCAGCTTACAGGAAACACCACTGAAAGGGGAGCATGTTAAATGAATTCTGGCTCCTTTTATAGAACTAAAAGAACAAACCATAGAGATATTTAGTTCAATCCTATCATTTCACAAGAAGGAAAGTTGAGGACCCAAGGCAATGTAAGTATGTATTAGCCCCTGTTCCAGTCATCTATTGCTGCATAATCAGTCATCCAAACAATTTTTTTTTTTTTTTTTTTTGAGACAGAATCTCTCTGTGTTCCCCAGGCTGGAGTGCAGTGGTACAATCTTGGCTCATTGCAAACTCTGCCTCCCAGGTTCAAGTGATTCTCATGCCCTAGCCTCCCTAGTAGATGAGATTACAGGCATGCACCACCAGGTCCAGCTAAGTTTTGTATTTAGTAGACACGGGGTCTTGCCATATTGGCCAGGCTGATCTCAAATCCCTGGCCTCAAGTGGTCTGCCCATCATGGCCTCCCAAAGTGCTGGGATTACAAGTGTGAGCCACCAAGCCAGGCCTATCCAAATAATTTTGAGGCTTAAAGCGACAATTGGCTGGGTGTGGTGGCTCATGCCTGTAATCTCAGCACTTTGGGGGCCGAGGTGGGTGGATCACCTGAGGTCAGGAGTTCAAGACCAGCCTGACCAATATGGTGAAACTCCATCTCTACTAAAAAATACAAAAAAATTATCCAGGCATGGTGGTGGGTGCCTGTAACCCCAACTACTTGGGAGGCTGAGGCAGGAGAATCGCTTGAACCTGGGAGGTGGAGGTTTAAATGAGCCAAGATGGCGCCATAGAACTCTAGCCTGGGCGACAAGAGCGAAACTCCATCAATATATAACAACAACAATCATTTATCATCTCTCCTGGTTCTGGGGTTAACTGGGGCCAGCTATGGTTCTTACTTGGGATTCCTCATGCAGTTACAGCCAGATGGTGGTTGGGGCTGGAGTCATCTTACAGGCTTCTCACTCAAATCTGGTGGCGAGGGGTTCAGCTGGGAATATCAGCTGGATCACTGGTGTCTTGGCCTCTTCACATAAGGGTGACTGGGTTCTAAGGGCAAGTATCCCCAAAATAACCAGGCAGAAGCTGCATCACTTTTTATGATCCAACCTCTTAAGTCACATGGCACCAATTAAGCTGTAGTCACCAGCCCACTCAGATTCAATGACAAAGAGCACAACTCTCTGCGGGAGGAGTATCAACACTACATTTTAAGAAAGTGTGCAGATCCTGTTGAGATCATTCTGGAACACATACTTTGCCACAGATGCCCTTCCTACAAGACTGTATATGATCCTCCTTGTAAACCCCTATGATGACACTTACCAGTGAGGAACTGCCTGCCTATCTGTAACCCATCTCTTCCACTAAAACATAGCTCCTTTCAAGAAATAATTGGATCAGTAAAGTAATCTTTTATTCCTGGCACTTAGCAGACGCTAAAAAAACAAATTGTCAAATCAGTGAACAAACAAATCAAATTCAGATTTAAAGTTGGAAATATTTGAAAATGTATCTGTAAATGTTCTTCATTTAAACCTCTTATGTTAGATAAACTTAAAAGACTGTCAGCTTTTAGAACTTACTACTTTTAAATTTTAGTAATGATATATCCTCACATTTGACTCATTTATCTATAAGTAGTAAGATTGCTACTAACTCAAACATTGTATCTAACAGCTTAAAATTTATCAGCAACACAAAATGCTCATTTTAATATGTATTCAGAAAAACTTGTGGGTTTATTTTTCTTGAAAATTGGTGGGATATTTTATGACACATATATTTTATGACACACGCCCTTAAAAGGAAATTTATGTATAATACCACTGTTGCTAAATATGCCAAATGAAACAGTTGCAAACCACTCCAAGAACTTAGTGTACTCAAGTGCAAACATACAATTTAAAAGTATTTTTATTCATAAATTATATATTTTTGTATCCTGTTACTGGATATAGCCATTCAAACCTAAATTATCACTCTATGATCAACTTTTTTTTCTTGTCAGCAAATATAACCAAGATGAAATAAAATTGTATAATTCAAAACTTGAAAATTAGGTAAGCTATTTCTTGGCCTGAACAAGGCACACACATATTCAACACACTGAACTGGTTATTTTAGAACACTATACCTTGTAGTGTACCATGTGTAACCATTTCTCTACTGTACCAAATGTCATTAATCAGTTCTTAATCTGTGGAGACTGTATGTAATTGCTTTTATCACATTTCCTGCAAGGTGTCATCGTTAATCATGTATCTCTGTAAACAAGGATGGATGTGTACCAGCAACACTTACCAATGAGTACCTGACCACTCTTCATAGCAGATCCCCCTGGCAGCAGGCCATGAACCACAAGCCTCTCTCCATCACCCTGCTTTCCAGTTCTTCTCCAGCTCCACTTGGTCTGATGAATAATTCCAACCAGCACTTCCAGAAGCTTGAGCTGCTCTTTGGCTTTGATGACAGTTAGCTTTTTGGGGTTTACATAAACATTCACATCTTTGTACCGCTGTTGGACAATGACTCCTGTCTTCTGATTAGACTGATGCTTTAGAATGGATACTGGTCCATTGTCATTGCTATTTTTTTTATTGCAGCGCTTGGGTAAAAGTCTTTTCCTTCTTAAAATTTTGGTAAACTGTTTGAGTTTGGGTTCATACTTTTTTCTTTCTTTGTAATCATCTTCAATGATAATCTCATTTTCGCTGAACCTGACATGGTTCACAGTTGGTGTCTCAGGAAGGAGGCTTTCTTCTTCATCCTCACTCAATTCCAAATAAAACAGCTCTCCATTTTTCTGCACACTGTCCAGCCATTCAGGCTCAAGATCACTATGAAAGAGAGAAAAGATAATCTTAATAGCAGCCCAATATATATAAAAAAAGGCATGTCATCCTGGCATGGGGGTGAGGTTAGAGGCTGGGGAGCAGGAAGATGGGAAAGGGTGAAACTTCTTTATTATTTCAAATTATCCTTACTATTTCTAATTTATTGTGAGCCTCAACATTATTTCCTATAGGATGCTTTTTTTTGTAGAGCTTTGAAGAATAGGAGTTGAGGGAGAAGGAATCAAAAAGGCATAGCAATAGAAAGGAAAACCAATGAAAAAAAAAGATGGTCCCCTTATAGAATCTATGAGTTGAAAAAAATTAAATCAACCACTGTGTGGTTACTGTTCACTTTAAACAATTTCACTGAATGATAATTTGCATTAGCAGTTGATTATGCAATTATATCCACAGAAGTATGCCACTTGGAAATTGTACATGAAAATATATTATTTGCATATAAATTATTTAGGATGGTTGTCAGGTTAAAATGAAAGCTAAAGCCTACCAGCTTTAACAGACTTTTACATAAGTTTTCAAAACAGAAACACCCACTTCACCATGAACTAAAATCTGCCCTGAAAACAACCCATTTATAATCACAGTTAATATAGTAATGATCACTTTACAGTCTATAATTTCCATAAAGCTCCTTTTTATGAAAAACTGTAGTAGAAAAAACAAAGCATATATTACATAATTCATCATGTGATTATAAAAAATATTTTTAACTGGGAAGTATGCTGCTGAAAAAAACCAAATTACTGCTATTAAAATGATTGAAATAGCATTAAGAAGCAAACATACTCATGGTAACAAACCTAAACTCTACCCTGTTCAATGTTATGAACAGTTTACCTTTCAAACTGCTCTTCTTTAAAGTGAAACTAGTTATAGCAGAAAAATTAACATGTAGAGAGTCTTTTCAGAAACATGAGCTGTAATATCCCGGCCTGAAAGAGTATAATTTGTGTTGTAATCATTAAATCAGATAGAAGACATTTCTGTTTTCTGCAGTGTTTATTAGCAACTCCAGTTCTTTTAACTTAAAAGTCAAATGTCTCTTTCTAAAATACTTTGAAAATTAGTCCCCAAAATATACTATTCTATTACTCAACTCAAACTAACCACTGCTCTCGTCTGTGGCTGGTTGTTAATATAAAATTTTCAACTACATATGAGTCATTTAAAAATAATGCCTAACAAGCTCAAAATATCAAAACTAACATTTCTTTGGGACTTGTTGGTTCCCAGTGTGTGGCATCATCATAGACACTAAGCCTCATTTGTTACAGATTATTAACCAAATATCGCTTATTTCAACCATACCTATCTGTACCCACAAAATCAATATTTAAATAACTATGCAGTTCTACTCTTGAGAGTCTAAATAACTATATCCCCACCACAATCATTTAGATAACAAAGCTACCTTAATTTTAATTGCTACAGTGTAAATACCATGATTGCACATTAATTACTTAAAAACATATGTATCAATTTAATATATATATCAACTTAAACAATGAATAAAATGTATCAGCCTTATTATCTCACCCTTTTAACCTGGTAAGTTATTTGTATTAGAGATATATAAAAGAAACATTTTCTTCCACTTGCTAAATACGAAGATGATTCATTTCAATCTCTAAAATTTGAATGTGAAATCACTTTTGGTTATGATTCAAAGATCCAATCCAAGCAGGTGGGGGCCAAGGGGATAGCATCTTGGCATTCAATTGTGGAGCAACTAGACAGCGCCAGGAACTGTGGTAAGTACCAGAATTATAATGATGAGAATGTCAGTTCCCGCCCTCGGTTAGTAAAGAAGAGAAAGTGAGGAAGAATTCATGACAGTACACAGGGTAAGTACAAGACAGAGGCATACAGGAGAGTCACCCAGCTTAGTCATACAGGAGAGTCACCCAGTTTAGCCTAGCTGGAAGTTGAGGGGAGATCAGGGAGACCCCAGAAATCAGTTTGAAAAGGATAAATGGGGGAGGGAGAGAGATGGGGAGCTGAAGGGAAAGCCGTGAAGAGGATTTCAAACAGGAGTAACAGCATAAGCAAAGACCTGATGATAGTCCCCATGACCTAGACGGAGAACCACTGGCAGTCTGCAGTTGCCAGAGTAAATGTGGAAGGTGGGGAATGACAGAAGTGGTCAAGCCTTAGTTTTGCCAGGGTTTTTAGATCATCCTAAGGGGTTTGGCTTTTGTAGAGCAGGTGAGAAGGCATCAACAAAGAGTTTTAAGTAGAGAGTTTATGTCTTAGATATCCCTGGATAGGCCTACTTTGGCAAGTAAATGGTTGGTGGATTTGAGGTGGACAAGACTCAAGTCAGGAGGACTAGTCAGGGGGCTGTTTCAGTAGTTGAGGCAAAAATGACAAATAAAGCAATAGAAGAGATGGAAAGTAGGAAACACATTTGAGAAACTCTTGAGAATCACCAGAACTCTGAGACTGATTAGGTGGGGAGAGAGAGACAGCAGGATTCAGGTTGACTGGATTTCTAGTTGGTGACTACACTTTCATGCATCCTTTTGTGCATATCCATGTGCAGACTCATCGTAATAAATGGGAACACAATCTTAACACAAGTCATTTTCTCTTACTATCTCTCTCTCACATGAACACTGTTAAAAAATCCATGCTTTATAATCACATACAAACACATATAGGGTTATTCTGTCACTGTTTTTAAAAAGTGGAATCATTATATATGTACCTATATAAAGGTATATACTTAACTTCATAATTTCTCACTTAACAATACAGCTTAGAAATCACTAGTGGTTGCATATAATATTCGATATCAAGGATGTAGGACATTTGGTCATTCACCTACTGATAAGCTTTGTGTTCAGTTCTTGTTTTTTCACCACAAAGCTGTAGGAACCATCAATATACACGTGTGTGTGTGTGTATATATATATATATATCTTTACCCAAAAGACTATACCAATTTATATTTTCACTAGTGATATGTGGGATCCATTCTCTTAATGTCTAGATTTTTAAAGATACATCATTTTAAGAAGAGAAAGACATTTTTTAAAAAGAGGAAGAAACTAAAAAGGAAGATAAAGAGGTAGAGACAGGGAAGTGTATATAAGAGACCCCACACAGAAGGGCAACTTATACTGAAAAGCAAATGAACTGAGAAATCATGAAGAGCTGAGTTCAAATTTTGTTCTATTACGATTTTAACCTTTTTAAGATCGACTGATTGATTGCTTTAGTTTTCCTATTCTTGAAAACAGATTATAGCAGTGGTTCCAAGACGGTCAAATAGGAATAGCTCCAGTCTACAGCTCCCAGCATGAGCGACGCAGAAGACTGGTGATTTCTGCATTTCCAGCTGAGGTACCGGGTTCATCTCACTGGGGTTTGTCGGACAGTGGGTGCATGACAGTGGGTGCAGCGCACCAAACGTGAGCAGAGGTAGGGCGAGGCATCCCCTCACCCAGGAAGCGCAAGGGGTCAGGGAATTAATTCCCTTTCCTAGCCAAGCAAAGCAGTGACAGACAACACCTGGAAAATCGGGTCACTCCCATCCTAATACTTCGCTTTTCCAATGGTCTTAACAAAAGGCACACCAGGAGATTATATCCCGTGCCTGGCTCAGAGGCTTCCACACCCACAGAACCTCGCTCATTGCTAGCAAAGCAGTCTGAGATCCAACTGCAAGGCGGCAGACAGGCTGGGGGAGGGGCGCCTGCTATTGCTGAAGGTGGAGTAGGTAAAAAAAGAGGCCTGAAGCTCCAACTGGGTGGAGCCCACCACAGCTAAAGGAGGCAAGCCTGCCTCTGTAGACTCCACCTCTGGGAGCAGGGCATAGCTGAACAAAAGGCAGCAGAAACCTCTGCAGACTTAAATGTCCCTGTCTGACAGCTTTGAAAAGAGCAGTGGTTCTCCCAGCACGGACCCTGAGATCTGAGAACGGACAGACTGCCTCCTCAAGTGGGTCCCTGAACCCCAAGTAGCCTAACTGAGAGGCACCCCCAGTAGGGGTAGACTAACACTTCACAAGGCTGGGTACCACTCTGAGACGAAACTGCCAGAAGAACAATCAGGCAGCAACATTTTCTGTTCAGCAATATTCGCTGTTCTGCAGCCTCCGCTGGTGATACCCAGGCAAACAGGGTCTGCAATGGACCTCAAGCAAACTCCAACAGACCTGCAGCTGAGGGTCCTGACTGTTAGAAGGAAACTAACAAACAGAAAGGACATCCACACCAAAACCCCATCTGTACGTCACCATCATCAAACACCAAACGCAGATAAAACCACAAAGATGGGGAAAAAACAGAGCAGAAAAACTGAAAATTCTAAAAATCAGAGCGCCTCTCCTCCTCCAAAGGAACGCAGCTCCTCACCAGCAACGGAACAAAGCTGGACAGACAATGACTTTGATGGGTTGAGAGAAGAAGGCTTCAGAAGATCAAACTTCTCCGAGCTAAAGGAGGAAGTTCGAACCCATGGCACAGAAGTTAAAAACCTTGAAAAACGATTAGACGAATGGCTAACTAGAATAACCAATGCAGAGAAGTCCTTAAAGGACCTGATGGAGCTGAAAACCAAGGCACGAGAACTACATGACGCATGCACAAGCTTCAGTAGCCTATTTGATCAACTGGAAGAAAGGTAGCAGAGATGGAAGATCAAATGAATGAAATGAAGCAAGAAGAGAAGTTTAGAGAAAAAAGAATAAAAAGAAAAGAACAAAGCTGCCAAGAAATATGGGACTAGGTGAAAAGGTCAAATCTACGTCTGATTGGTGTACCTGAAAGTGATGGGGAGAATGGAACCAAGTTGGAAAACACTCTTCAGGATATTATCCAGCAGAACTTCTCCAACCTAGCAAGGCAGGCCAACATTCAAATTCAGGAAATACAGAGAACACCACAAAGATACTCCTTGAGAAGAGCAACTCCAAGACACATAATTGTCAATGCCATAGATACGACGCAAGGACTTGCTACTCAAATGATGGTACTAGG